GGGCGAACAGAAATGAATGTAGGATATTTGTGGGAAAGTCAGAAGGAAAGAGACCACCTGGGAAGACCAAGACGTAGGTGGGTGAACAATACTACAATGGATCTTAGAGAGATAACATGGGATGGGATGGATTGGATTGATCTGGCTCAGGCTCAGGCACGGTAATGAACATTCGGGTTCCATAAATTGCTGGGAAGTTCTTCAGTAGTTGCGAAATTGGCGGCTTCTCAAGAAGGGCTCAGCTCCATGAGCGTATGAGTATCTGCTTCGCGTGCATCCCGTGTAAGCAGCTCTCGTAATAGAGCTATCAAGTGGCGCCTCCACCGACATTCCCGCAAACTAGCGAAACACACACACAGAATGAAAACAAAATAAATACCAACCATGGACAGCGGGCCGTGCCATAGCTCAAGCGGTCAGCCGCTGGCTTCCCGGGTCTGGTCAAGTGGGATTTGTGGTGGACAAAGTGGCGCTGGGGCAGGTTTTCTCCGAGTACTTCGGTTTCCCCTGCCAATCTTCATTCCACCAATTGCTCCACAATCACCCTCACCTATCATCTGGGGCTGGTACAATAGGCCAGAAGTGGCCGCAGTACAAGGGACTTACTCTCACCCCACTAGCAGTAAAAAGAACCATGGACTGCAGTACAAGACGAAAGGATGACGTCCTGGACGCCCAAAGGAAAAACAGTAATTAGGGCAATTAAGGCTATTCTTGAATAGTTCATAATGATGATGATGATGATAATGAGGATGACGTAGCTGTGGCCGAAACAGATAGAAACATTCCGACTAATAAAATATAAATATTATGGGAAGATGTGGTTGTTGCCTGAGTTTGGTATTTGCCTGGACGTGCTGAGAAAGAAAATGGAAAACAAAATTATAAATTTCTAACGTCAGAAACACAAAATCCCCAATCAAAATTTAACAAATTTCCTCGTTCCTTGTTTCTTAACACCCTACTGATAACTTTAACCGGTTAGTTTCGGTACAGAAGCAATGAAAAGAAATTTGGTCTGAACAAGCACATACAAATGTGTCCATTTTAAGAACTGACGTTAACTTCTCTATCATTAAACTTTTTACGTCTTTAATGTTCTCTGAATGATGGTCAGGCCATACGTTAAATAACGTCTTCACACAACATTTCCGCTAAAATGCCTTTTTATTGTGATCAGTTTTCATGGTAAATGGGATTTCGTGCGGAAGGCGTGTTGCTTTTCTTTCGTTATGGTTCCGCTCGTTCACGTCCATGCAGTGCTGCTGCCACGCCCATCCACCCCTCATGGCTCGTCGAACACAGAGATTGATCAGGCGCGGAAAATAATACAAATCTTGTAAACTCATCTCTAGGAAGGCTCTTTATTTATATTTTATTTCGTGAAGAAATAAGTTCTGTATCGTGATGGATATTCTTCAGTCTGTGGCTGTATACAAGGCTGTAGTGCTTAATGGCGCTACAGTCGTCTCGTCCATACAACTTTTTTGTACCTGTCAAAAGAAAAATCTCGCCCACAAACAAACAAACAAACAAAACAAACTCGGTGGCTTAAGTCCGCAAGTGAACTATACCGACCGAGCGACCGACTCATTTCGGCGAAGTTAGTGCCAAACTGAGCGGATAGAGAGGGTGTCACGTGGCCAGCGCAACGAATCCTCAGGTCGTTAATTTCAGTTTTCTAGACCGGAGCAGCTATTTCCTTAAAATAACTCCTCAGTTATCCTCAGGAGGCTGAGTGAACCCCGTTCTATACCCACTACTTCTTAGAATATGTGGTAGTGCCAGGAATTGAACCCGGACCTCTGGATCTGTAGGCAGGAACTCTGTCCATTAGACCAGGGGTAGCAAAGATTTTTCGTAAAGGGCCAAATATAAAATACATTACACTCTGAGGGCCAAGAGGCAAACTCGAGGATCTTTAAAGGTCGGTACAGTTAAAATAACAGGTTAAAAAACAAGTTTTCACAAATTTACTGGTGAAAATGTAACATAATAAAAATACAAAGGGAACTACAATCATTGTTTGAAACACAGCTTTAGGCTACTAATGGGATGAATGAAATTGTTTTTTTTTTAGATAATATTTCTTCAAATTGCGGGTCAAAGTTAGTACTCCCTATCATCGTAATTGATTGCAAATGTTCGTCTGTTAATGCTGACCTGTATTGAGATTTTACATATTTCATCTTTGAAAATGTCTTTTCACACAGGTAGGTACTACCAAATACAGAGATCAAACCTCGAGCATATGATCTTAATTCACCCTATTCATCACTTGGAAGACACTTATAGAATTCTGTTAGATTGTTCTCTTGGAATTTGCCTCTTAGCATGTTATCACACTGCAAAATAATCACTTCCAATTTAAGGTTAGGTGGAAGTTCTTCAATTGTACAGTTAAACGTATTTTCAAATCTGGAAATGTCTTCTGCACTTGCATCAAGATCCGAAAAACGTCGCTGGAACTGTTTTTTGAGCTCAGAAAATATATCACCTGCAAATTCGTGCAGGAATGGGGAATCCATTTCTTCTTTTAATGTTTGACAGCATGGGAAATGCACGAAACAGCTTGACATTTTTTGTGACTCAATCAAAGCCAGTTATCGTCGAAATGATTTTACCGCAGTATAAGTTTCACATATTAGCACTGTTTTGCCTTGTAGCTTCAAGTTGAATCCATTAAGAAATCCCATGACATCAGCAGCAAAAGCTAATTTCCAAAGTCATTCAGTGTTCGATAATAGTGGTTGAGGGCGTTTTTTCTCATTGAGAAAAATTTCAATCTCTGCTCTGAGTTCAAAAAATCTTAATAAAACTTTACCACTGCTGAGCCATCGAACTGCTGTGTGGTAGGGTAAGTCAGGATATTCGGCTTCCACTTCTGACAGAAAATCACGGAACTGACGATGGTTCAGCCCACGAGAATGAATGATGTTCACCGTTGACACGACTGGTTCTAAAACACACGATAAATTAAGATATTTGCCACAAAGTACTGCTGGTGAATGATACAATGAATAACCTTAGGCCTTGTACACCTTGCATTTTCACAAGCTGTGTAAATGCTTCCAACTAAGCCTTTACCTGTTCCAGACATATTTTTACCACCAGCAGTTGTCACACATTTTAGCTGATTCCACTTCAGATTGTACTTCGTTAACATTTCCTCAACTTCCTTGAAAATGTCTTCGCCTGTAGTTGTTCCACGCAGACTATTCATAGAAGCTAATTCTTCAGTCACTTCAAAGTCAGCATTGACTCCTCGAATAAACAGCAGCAATTGAGCAGTATCTGTAATGTCTGTCGACTCATCAAGAGCTAAGGAAAACCACTCGAAATCATTTGCCTTGTTAATTAATTGGTTAGTGATGTTGCTACCAATGTCCTCAACTCTTCGGGCAACTGTTCTCGCGGAAAGGCTGATATTATTAAATAAATCCATTTTCTCTGGACACATTTCTTCAACTGCTACAATCAAACATGATTTAATTAACTCACCATCAGTAAAGGGTTTTCCTTCCTTGGCTAACAAATGAGCTACTCGTAGACTTACTTTACTTGCAGCCTTATTTTCATTTTTCATTTTCGTGAAGAAACTGCGTTGTAATGAAATACTCCATTTCAAAGTTTCTAATTTTTGTGATCGTTCCTTCCCTGTGAGTTGGGAATACTGTGCCGAATGCTTAGTCTGGTAATGCCGACGTATGTTGTACACTTTTAGTACAGCTATAGTATCACTCTACAATAAACACAATGCTTTGCCATCCAATTCAGTAACAAAATAATTCTCACTCCACTCTGCCTTAAAAGCACGGCATTCTAAGTCCACTTTTCTCTTCTTTTGTGGTTTCGACAGCGACATGATGGATATCCACTGGTATTAAAACGACACAGAACAGCGATACGCGTGGCGGCGGGCCGGATTTGGCCCGCGGGCCGTAGTTTGCCGACCCCTGCACTAGACCATAGAGGCGGTTTCAAATTTATCCCCTACTTCATAAAGTCCACTTTGTTATTTCACGCAAATACAGCCTTAAAAGTCTTACGTTATTAATGCAATATTTACGCAGTGCAAGCTTAAAATCCAACAGGAGAAAGCAATTTAGGTCACGTGTTTAAGTGATAACCTTCTGCTCGTCATGCGATCCGATCTTACTGCACCATCCCCACTCTTTTGCTTCTAGGTATATTGCAGCCGTAGATCTTAGCGTTTGAAGGACAAAATAAAAATGGGAGGGGTACACACTAAACAACGCCAGAGAAGTATAAAATATTAATACAATATGATCAAGCAATACAAATCAAACAACTCTCCTCAAACAGAGATACAATCAGACTGCAAGAAAGCAAAGGGCCCACGAGGGTAGAAGTAGTCAACTGAATGTCCAACAGAAGACAGCTTGCCTTCGCAGACCTGCCCTGATCACGGCCGAAATGATTTTAGGAGCAAGGGAACCAAACCTGATTTTAAAACAAGCGACAGTGAGATTTAGAGACACGGCTCAGACAGCTCAGAGAAGAGAGGGGAGTGGAAGGGAGACATGAAAGAGGGAAGGGGTACGTGGGCATCGGGGTCGCAGCACCGAACATAAACGCACTCGAAGGGAAATTCTCCAGCGTCCAGCTAAACCAATGACTCAGACTTTTCTTATTGTTTTCAGTTACAAACAGCTAGCTAACTGTGGCTCCACAGTCCTTTTGTTGGACCTTGGCCGCTTTTTCAGTTTCTTGGTCCTATACACAGTCGGTAGGACTCCTTGAACGGGGGATCAGCACGTCGCAAGGACGCTACCTACATAAAGAACAAAAAACACAGACATTCATGCCTTGAGTGGGATTCGAACCCACGATTCCAGCGTTCGAGCGAAGACAGTTCATGTCTTAGCGTGGCCACTGTGATCAACAAAAATTTCAATTACTTCCACGTGGACTTGAGCCCATTTTCTCTTGCCTACATTCTAACTGCTTTACCACTGAGCTAATGCGTGTAAGAGGAATGCCAACAGCACGTGTTGTTCCCAAGAGGTCATCCATGCAAGTACTGACCACGCCCAATGTTGCTTAACTTCGGTGATCGGACAAGAACCGGTGTTTTCAACATGATATTGCCGTTGGCGCTATAAATAGCTACGGCTACATATTAGGCATATTAGCGTCTTTACAATCATCATCATCATCATCATCATCATCATCATTACGCCTCCATCGGTTTGGGAAGAACCTACTGCTTAAAGAGAGACTCAAAACTAACAGTACTTGTTTGAGGGCCAAAGTTCGCACAGTCGCCATATTCGTTTAGTGTTGACTAATAATAATATTCTAGAAATAATTCTCAGGTATTTTCAAGGTCTATCTCCACACAACTTTCCACTTGCGTAGCTCGAATGATTTTTTTACTTACGGCGAAAAACCGAAAAATTAAACTGGCCTATACATTCCATGCAAACGGTATGTCCTTGTTTTAAATCCTGCAAAAGGGGTTCGTTCAGGAAAGTTGCACATTTTTTAAAGGTCTATTAACACCCACAATTTCGGGACCTTCCTTGCTATTGTCCATTGCAGGAAATTAAGAAGTACCAGGCTGGATGGTCTCCAGTGGCATAATGTCCATAATCAATTTCGTGAAAATATTGTGATGTGTCTGCTGAAAGCTGGGGCAGAACCAGAAGAGATGGCAGTTGCTAGACACTAGCTCTGTAAACATGCTTCCACGGAAACCAAATAAGAACGCAAAGTAGAACAATTCTCTAGGCAGTGTTTTCTCTGTGTTCCTACTTGGGGTTATATAACGAGGATCACAGCTGATTTTGAAGAATTGTGAGAGAGTGAACCCGGAAGCTGAGGAAATTATGGTTTTGGGATCCGTTACCAAGCAACGACTGGTGAAGATACAGCAGGCTGAGAAGACATTGCGTCCTGTAATGAAAGTCAGAGTGTGTGAATTGGCGATAGCGCTATATTCCATTGCAGTGGCGGTTTGTAAGAGTCTACTAAATCCAATTACCAATCCAACCCCCGTGTCAAGTCACTAAACACGTGACAGTATGGAAGTAAATTGATTCAGAAATTAAAGGGAAAACAGGATAATGATTGCGGAAACATTTTTCTCTCTTAAGTAACGAATCCTACGACTCAGAATTGATTTTTCTACCGCCATGACCTGGGTTTCTGGAATTAAGTACCTCCATTACAGATCCAATGGGGGTACGCGGTAGCGCAGTTGGTTGAGGCACTATGCTACAAGCCTGACGGTCGCTGTTCGATTCCCGACAAGGTCATTAGATTTTTCATTTTATCTAAACCTTTCAGCCGCAGTATGGTCCTGGGTCGACTCAGCCTCTAACAGAAATCAGTACCAGGATTCTTCCGGGGGGGGGGAAATGATGGCTGACAACCTCACCGCCATCTGTGAGCCGATTGTCTATACAAAATGTGGGAGCCTCGACCTCTCACAACCCTATGGGCCTTCAGGGCCTGTTATAAGTACAGCTCTTTTTATATATCTACTAATAATGAAACCGCCATTACTCACTGATCTCTTGTAGTTTATGGCATTTCTTCCAACGCATTATACTGGGTTATGCCTATGCAGATTAGATTAATTAGGGTCACGGAAGAGGCCAGTGGCGGGCTCTTTTGAAAACAGTTATCACATTTCGAGTTCCATAAATGGCTTCAAATTTCCTGATCATCTCCTCAAACACTCTGCTGTATGCAGATAATCAATTAGTTAGTTGTTAGTAATATTTACGTCAGCCGGTCACGGTAGCCGAGTGCTCTAATTTTTTTTAATTCACTTAGTAGGGGGTGGAGTCCAACTGGATCCACTTGGCACGGCGTCCACTGATTCGCCTATTGTTGCTTGCCCAGGGTGATTATGATGATGGAGAATATCGTGGAATGAAGATTGGCAGGGGAAACCGAAGTACTCGGAGGAAACCCACCCCAGCGCCACAAATCCCAATTCACCAGACCCGGGATCGAACCCGGGCTGACGCGGTGGGAAACCACCGACTAACCGCTTGAGCTATGGCGCGACCAGTCGAGTGCTCTAAGGCATGTACTATCTTCTCTCGCTCGGAAGCCGAGATCGTGGGTTCCAATCCCACACAAGGCATGGATGTTTGGTATGTATATGTGTTTATTCTGTGTTTAGATTGCGGCCTTGCGACGAGCTGATCGCTTACCCAAGGTGTCCTACCGTCTGTAAAATGATCATGAGACTGAAAGTCATGGGGGCCAGGCCCAAGGGGGCTGTAGATCCATTGAAAAAATAAAATACTTGCGGTTGTTAACAGACCATCTGTTTGTAAAGTTACTTCTGTAAGACGAAAACACGTATCCGTAGACAGAAAATGCACTGCAATGTGCTGATAACATGCAATTCATGTTTTGTTGTTCTGTTGCGTAATCACTCGCAAGCAGCGGGGATGAGCCAGCCTTCTGGCTGTCAGCAATTTGAAACACGCGCCTCCGTGCTCAACCCTGCAATCATAATGGAAACAAATGAAGTGTGTGTCATTTTAGACATAATGATTGATCACAGACAACTACGGTACCTGCCTCCCGGAACCTCTCATTATATCAAAACGAGATTTATTAGCGGCGAATTCTGTTTGAAACGCCTCCATCAACACCGGTTCCACACAACAGTCAAAACGCTATGAAGTCCACACATATAATTTCTGTGCTACTTGGTATTTATTGTGCTACGTCAAAATGAGATTTAATATTTGATAGCAAAAATTGTGGTTCCGCAAGTGTAAACATCTAATTTCTACAGCTGCTTTGTAATAACAGGACTATAACAAGACGAGATTTACTGTCTATTAGTAGCTAATTTTATTTGAAACATCTCCATCAATACTGGTTCCACACAGCAGTTAGTATACTATGTAAAGCACGTATCTAACTTCTGCACCTCTCTCTCTCTCTCTTTATGGTTCTAGAGAGCACGTATCTAACTTCTGTAGCTCTCTCTCTTTATGGCTCTAGAGAGCACGTATCTAACTTCTGTAGCTCTCTCTCTCTCCTTATGGTTCTAGAGAGCACGTATCTAACTTCTGTAGCTCTCTCTCTTTATGGTTCTAGAGAGCACGTATCTAACATCTGTAGCTCTCTCTCTCTCTCTTTATGGTTCTAGATAGCACGTTTCTAACTTGTGTAGCTCTCTCTCTTTATGGTTCTAGAGAGCACGTATCTAACTTATGTCTCTCTCTCTCTCTTTATGGTTCTAGAGAGCACGTATCTAACTTCTGTAGCTCTCTCTCTTTATGGCTCTAGAGAGCACGTATCTAACTTCTGTAGCTCTCTCTCTCTCCTTATGGTTCTAGAGAGCACGTATCTAACTTCTGTAGCTCTCTCTCTCTCTTTATGGTTCTAGATAGCACGTTTCTAACTTGTGTAGCTCTCTCTCTTTATGGTTCTAGAGAGCACGTATCTAACTTATGTAGCTCTCTCTCTCTTTATGGTTCTAGAGAGCACGTATCTAACTTCTGTAGCTCTCTCTCTTTATGGTTCTAGAGACAACGTATCTAACTTCTCTCTCTCTCTCTCTTTATGATTCTAGAGACAACGTATCTAACTTCTCTAGCTCTCTCTCTCTCTTTATGGTTCTAGAGACCTTTGGACGTTGGGATTTTTTCAGTTCCTTAATCATACACACACACATATTCTTGGACGGGGATCAGCCCGTCGCAAGGTCGCTACCTACACACAGAACAGTACAAATTCAGTATAAACAAACACAGACATCCATACCTCGAGTAAGATTCGAACACACGACCTCGGTGTTCCTGCGGCCGATGGCGGTTCATGCCTTGCTGCGCGGCCACTGTGATCAGCATTTCTGTATCTACTCAGTGACAATTTTATTATATCGAAACGAGACGTAATGTCTATTTGCGTCGAATTTAATTTGAAATGTCGCCATTGGCAGTGGCTTGAAACAGCAATAGCAGTGACACGAAATGTAACCGTCCGTTGCTAGTGCTTAGCGAACATTCATTACGACGCTACGTAATTAAGGAATATACTGAACAGGATACCTCGTCCGGTAACACGTTCAGCTTGTTCGATGAGCACAAGGTGATTGTCGCATTGGTTACAGGTTATCCTGACAGACATTTCTGCTTTTCTCCTTAGTACCTAGAGGAGAATAATTTATTTTTTATTTATAATATTAGTGGTGTCTGTCCAGATCGAATCAGAAAAATGTTAAATAGTAAAACACTTGGGATTCCTGGGTTTCTGAACTTCCTCCCTCGTTCGGTACTCTAAGGGTCACAGAGTTTCGGAGATTGGAGCTGTTTCCGGGGGAGACACCTGCTCTGTTGGGTCCGCTAGCACAATCTTACGTCCAGTGATTGAGGTTACCTATTTCTAACGGAATCAGCAGAGTAAGAATCTCCCACCCCCTCACCTGAGGACGGAAATAGATTCAGTTTCCGAAACGTTATGTCATTTAGAATACCAGTCCAAAAGTTCAAAAAACCCAGTGATCCCAAGTGTTATACAACATCATCAGAAGCCCTTGGAATCTACTAGACTGCTACACCAACAATTAAAACGAATTCAAAAACTTTCAATATAATCACCTGAAGGCAAGAGTCGAGCGAATTTCCGAAACGTCCTTCAGGCCATTTTCAAATACATATCTCTTAGCGTACAGTATCCAACATAACATTATCATGCAATTAATCAGGAAAACAGGTTTGCCGGTCCAGTGCCCGCGAAGTCTAAGGCATGAACTGTATTCACCCGTTCGAACGCTGGGATCGTGGGTTCGAATCCCACTCAAGGCATAAATGTCTGTGTGTTTAATCCGTATTTGTTTTCTTCTGTGTGCAGGTAGTGGCCTTGCGAAGGGGCTGATCCCCCTTCCAGGCAGTCCCACCGACTGTGTAAAAGATCAAGAAACTTAAAAGCGATAAAGGTTCAACAAGGACTGTAGAGCCACAGATAGATAGATAGATAGATAGATAGATAGATAGATAGATAGATAGATAGATAGATAGATACCAAACTATTAGGAAGTATGGGGAAGTGGATGTAGAGATCCACGTATACACTGTTGACAGCAGTCTATTAATTATAACAATATCGACATTGCTGTAA